GACCACCACTATAAGAAGCTGCTGCTCTTCCAGGTCGTGGTTTAATTCTAAAATCAATTGTCAATCTGTCTGTAAGGAGGCACTTGAAGGTATCTCCAAAAGATTAAGCAAGACCACCTCTATAAGAAGCTGTTGGTCTTCCTGGTCGTACATAAATTGAAAAATCAACCATCGATTTGGCCATAGTTGACCAACATGTTTGAAAATTTGGAAGCTTAGCTTATGTTGTTACGTCTTCTTGATTTGTGGTTATTGTGTAAGTATGCGGTGTGTGTGCTTATACGATATCTGTGATGGGTTCTTTGACTTGTGTGAGGTCTTTCAGAAGGAGCCAAGCAAAAACTTTGCAAAAAGCTCTTTGAATTTTGACATTTTACAGTCGATATCGAGAAAACACTCATACGCTATGGAGTACAATAAACCTAAAGTGCAAATTAATCGATAATGAGAACCGTAAACCAATCTCGGGTTAGCTTACGCAGCAGCAATAGCTTACGAACGGCTACCAAGGTACTTCGAATATTTAAATTTGCTAAAGTTATGAAGGGGTGGAGTCACGTCCTCTTGGCTATTTACGTTTGTATTATTTTACTTATTACAAAACAAAATAAGCAAGCAATAGGCGTCAGATAACTTTTTCATTGTTACATTCTACATCACTACGATTACAGGGCATATGTTTGTTTGTTGTATTAAGTTTGTACGGGCGTATTTAACATGCGGAAGGGGGTTTTTTTCTTATACTGATCGATTCAGGATTATGTTTTTATGTCCAACTGTCAATTTCATGCGCGGACGTTCTTTAACTCAAGGACGAACGCTGTTAAAAATGGATCGAGCAACTTTTCCAAAAAAAAAAAAAAAAAATTGTAATCTTCAAAATGTCTCGACAAAACTCGCTCTGGACATTCTAAATTCGTATGAAAATTTTGCTTCGTCTGGGACCATTTTTTGGAATCCTCTTAAACTGAATCTTCATGCAGTAAAAACGTATCATTTTTAATATTTCTGGGTGGAAATTAGTTCATAATAGTAAATTGATATATAATTCAAGGTTAACTTCGATTTTTTGATACCAAGGGCCTTTCATCAAAAATACACTGTTGTATGAAAATAAGTGCGAAGTGGTGTAGGGTTCCGAATAGTCGACCTCGCAGGACTATAATGTGCTTATTTGTTTTTGATTTGTTTCCCAAGTTCGTTGACTTTAACCATAATTCTAATTTCATATAAAAATATGTCACTTATTTACTAAAATCATTTTTGGAGAAAATTGTCAGCTGAATGTTGAAATGTCTCAAAAAAATCTTTTCACCTTTAAATTAAATTTTTTTTTTTTGTTTAAACAAGATTTTTGTTTACTGTCGATTATAAAGAGTTTCTATAAACAAAACCGTTCTCTCTATTGTAATTTGAAGATTTCCAAAAGACCGTAATTGCATATTATTATAAAGATATCTTTATTTTTATATTTTTTTTTGTTTTATTGGTTTTTTAATTGAGGGCACATATGCGTACATAAATGCGTTATATTGGCTCCCTCTCTTCTTCTGTCTGCTGTGATAAGCTTTAATAACTTTTAACCATTTTTGGTTTGCTTTTCAATATTTAATATATATATATATTTTTTTCTCTTTATATATTTTTTCGCTTACTATTTGAATAATTAATGTCACGTTCTATTTAATGTGAAATCATGCCTTTTTCAGACATTATGTATTCATAAGTTGTAGGCATGTGTTAGTGGGCTGCATGTGTATGCGAAAATTTACATTGATGTGATAATAAGAAGGAAAGGTTTCATAATTTTTTTTTTCTTTTTTTTTTCTGTTTTAATGTTTAATTTGGCGTCTTTTTTTTAACGGATAATTTAAGAGAGCTTTAAAGCCTTCAGTTGCAATGAAACAATTTAAAATTAAATTGAGAAAGTTGAACGTGCCTTACGCAAGAGATCATAAACTACTATGAAGGTTGTGCGAACTAGCGAAGTAGCATTAGATGCGTTGGAAAGCATGACAGCAAAGTTGATATTTTCTTCGCGATGCAGGAGAATTATTACGTAAAAGAGATGTTATACGAGAGGCCTTTTTGTGCTAAATAAAGATGACTGGATGAAGGTCTTTAAAGTAGGTCTCATCTTGATGAGGAGCGGTGACATGATGTGATAGCTTTATTTTGTAGTAGTATCTCCGTGAAGCCTCTGGGATCTATGCCGAGACGGATGACTCAATATGTTTTACCGTCATGCATCGCTTAAGAGGAATTTTTCGCCAATCAGCTAATTTCTCTACTCGATTTGATAAGCATAAAGAAGGGATGAATTTAAGATAGGATTTATAGTCATGGGACCGCTTTCTGAGACAAAATTCCAAAGCTAGCTTAGCGGGCATATATGCGATCATATTTACCTCTGTTCGTTACATTTTCTTTTGATATTAATTTTTTTTTGTTTAATCTGAATAATGACTGATGCGAATGATGACTTTCTCACTAGTGAGAAAGATATAGGGAAACAGGCGCAACCTAACCTGAGCGCTCACTATGTGCCGACCCAATGATATTTGAATCCATGAACACTGACTCGAGAGTCTTACGTACGCATGTTAGCCATGCTGCAGTGAGTTTTGATAGCTACGCTAATAAAATCTCCGATATATATTCAGTATTTATATTATATAAGTTACGCTACCAAGTCCAACGTAACATTTACAAAGGATTTTTCTTCTTTCCATATGAACTTTTATTTACATTTATTCTTTTTTATTGCAAACTCATTCTTTTTCATTGTATTTTACAGTTCAGTTCCCATGATCCTCATACGCCACAATGGCGGCTGGATCCCTGCCAATTGGAGGATACCGCCCCAGAAATGGAAGACCCCGTTAGGTTATTTCATGGACGTGTACGCATTGTTTGGGAACATAATAATCACACTCTAAACGCTAAACTAATGGTTACGGTCTTGGGTAAAGGAGATCAGTGCCGTAGTGAAAATAAACATCAATGTTTAAAAATAGGGTATATTTCTTTGAAATTTTCTAGTTATTTATTGGAAAAAATATAATTTAAAAATCTGGTTTCTTTCTCCCTTTACACAGAGATGAGCCCATATTATGTATATCTAAAGCGTTAATATGCGACGGCATACGTCATTGTCCATACAGCAACGAATATGATAGTGATGAAGATTATGAAATGTGCTGGAAGCGTAGTCGTTACGATGAGCCTATACCGCCAGCCATAGAATCTGATTTGCTCGAGCATTTTGCTTTAGAAATATTTCATAATCTTTTTGCTTTTGATGCGCCCGTATTAGAGAGGAAACCGGAAGGCAAATCAAATATCACAAAGCCGGATGGTCCTAAGGAAGACGCAACAGGCGGTTTGAACATTTCTTTGGCTGACAATAAGGGTGAAAATGTAGCAAATGACAATAGCAGCTTGGAGGTAAAAGGTTTGGGTATTCTGGGTCGACGTAACACTACGCGCAACGGTCTAAACTCAGATCTTTCTAAATATGGACCTTGGGGCTACTTAATGCTAGGCATGCTGCTATGCGGAGGAGCACTTTTAATTTGCGGATTATGGGGTAAGTATTTATGATTACGATAAAAAGATTTATTTGTTTAATCCTCAAAAGCCTGACATATACGTTTTTTCTTCTCATTGTTTGACTTTTGCCATAACTCATATATGCACACCTATGAATACCTATTTCTTTTCCGGATTTCCTAAATCTGAACACAGTTCTTTATTATCGCTTTAGCTATTACATTCAAAGCATACGTTCATTTTCAGCTTCTGCTTCGCAGCATGCCGCCAATAATGAACGTCAGTCAGCTCTGCAAAATGCCAACGGCGGAGCTACGAATAATATAAATGGAGAGCAACTAGCTAATGCTAATCCTCCGCCCAACTATGAGGAATTAGATCCACCACCTCCTTATTCAGTACTGTTTCCTAATCAGAAGGCATCTTCTAGTAATACACTAAACTCTTCTGAAACGTCAGCTACATCTACGATGCCCGCAACGACTACTCAATTGCCACCATCGGCTGCCCCAAGTACAACGAGATCAACAATACGTGTCGCGGTTAATTGAAGCAAAAAAAGAAAAAAAAAAAAAAAAACAAAAGAATATTGTGTTCGTTCGTAACCGTCCTTTTGTTATGGAAACAACATTAATCAGTGAACACGTTTTAATACGGTTGACATCCAATTAATTGTAAACTTTGACTGACTTTTTTTTTTTTTTGCTTATGCATATATATATTTGTATTGAGAAAAAAGAGAGATGAAGAGAGAGAAAGAGAGAGAAAGAGAAAAAAAAGAAAAAAAACTTAAAACATATCAAGGTTTGTTTTTTATATTTTATTTTTTTTTCGTTTTTTTTATAAAAATGTTTTTCTTTTCTCTTCTCAGTTAAACTTCAGATCGTAAATGTATCCAAGACAGCTCAAGTTTATATTTAAGTTTAGTTATGTGTACACTTTTCAGATAATTTATTTAATTAGCTTTAAGTTAATGTTTTAAAAAAAATTTTCGGAAATATTTACGATTATATTTGGTTTTTGTTTAATATGACGATTTTATTATTAAAAAATCATTTATTTTTTGGTGTTTTTATTTATTTTTTTTCGTTTTTTGATGAAACTCGAAGTTTTGTATAGAAATGTTGTGAGACCATTGTGTATCTAGCTATATTTTTTAAGAATATATTTATAAATTATTTGTTAATTTATTTTTTAATGTGATATAATTTAAAAAAAAAAAAAAACACATCATCATAAGAGAAATCAAAAATTGATTCAAAAAATAACATTAGAAAAAATAAATAAGAAAAAATAAAATTTAAAAAAAAAAATTTTTTTTATCCCTTTCCTTCCATTTTTCCATAGTTAAAAAAAAAAAACCGTAACACTTTATAAATGATGCGAAAAGTTTTAATTAAGCGAAAAACTTTTCGTATTGCTTTCAAAAATTGTTGCAGTCTTTCACTTTTTATCCTTAACTTCTTCAAAACATTTCCATTGTACATAAAATACTGTCTTGTGACTTGAAATTTTTATTCAAATCCTTGTGACATTAAGTAGTGGAACCATTGAGATGTGATTTTTACGATGACATAGCTTTTATTTACCATACTCAGGAGATCTATATACGAATGATTTGAAGGAACTTATATTTACGAGGTTTTAATGTCCGTTCCGGTCTTGTCCCTTCGAATATTGCAATTCAACTCTCTTGGCTCGAGTAACTTTGCCTTCCGTCAAGTCTATTCAAGTTACCAGTAACTAATTTCATTATGACATTCTTGTGGTAAATCCTTTTTCCGCGAAATGTTCGGCGAGTTGCTGGTACTCTGCTCGCCATCTGCTTGACGTAAGTAGAGGGTCATGAATATTTATTCGGTTTTATCGATTTTTCGAATTTAGTTACTTAGAAAATCCACTGGCTTTTCATGCAAACTCAAATTAACAAATGTGGGATTGTGGTGACAATATCCTTATCTACGACTTACTGCAGCAAATATCGTTTTTATTTATTTTAATTTAGCTATCACTTCTCGCTTTATTTTCAAGAGTTTTTGCCGCGCCCTTTTTAATAAGACGCAATGCCTTCATGCCTAAGCAATATCTAAGGAAGAAGAATTTCTTGTTCTAATGTTGTTGCTTTTATTATAAAAAAGCAACACTAAAATGATATGCGAATGCGAGAGGTTGACGTGAATTTTTTGATTTTATTTTGCAAGCAAAACGAACGAAAATATATTTGTTAGTTAAGCAATCGAAAGTTATGATGGGTGTGTATGGCGAAAGATATATGTGGCTGTCTGTCAAAAGTCGCCACTACAGCATGCGAATGTTTTATATTTAAGCGAGAATGAGACAACTTATAGCAATTTTAAACTAACTTGAAATAAATAAAACATTATAGTGCGGCACGGCCAACCATTAAGTACCCTACTCCACCCTACAGTTATTCAGATAACTTTTCAATATAAGGCGTAGTATGGAAAGTGATTGGAAAAATAGTCCTATTCCTACTATTTTCAATAGCGTGCGTCCTTCGAATAAAACACACCAGTTTCCAGTGCTCAGTGCACTAAATTTCATCAAAATCTCGCAAAAGTTTTGAGTTAAATACAAAAAAACAAGATGGACATAGGGACATGAAAGCTTGAAACGATTCGGAAAGTGATTCTGAATTGGTTGGTGTAATAAAAGGTGAGTCTATCTCAAGTCCTTATCCTTGTTGCATACATTCGCCCTTGTACCATGTGAAAATATTTAGATTATCGTTCTGTTTAGATGAGCAAACAGAACCGATAGTTCACATGGTCAATAGTGCTGCGTACAGTGATTATAATCGTGATTTTATCTAGTAGACACAATCTATACCACCTGAAGATGGTTCATTCACATATATGAAGGTGATAATAATGTTCGATGAAATTGGAAAACTTAATTAGAAACAATTTGTTTACGGTAAAGTAAAAATAACCCGACATTGTGTTTACAACTTTAAGCTTAATGACTTGAGCTAACAGCGTTCTCGCTTTAGCAGCACTTATGTCAGTTTCTTTCGTCTGCATTTTACTTTCGTTTTGTCATATCAACTCTCTTGCTACGCCCTTACCATCTTTCTTATTATTATTTACACTTTACTTACACAATGGAAGACGTTTGTTTACTTTGCCTTTAGTTAAATTACAGAGAAACGTTTTAACATAAATCGTCGGCTAAGTTTTCCTTATACTATGACTCAAGCCAAAAAGTAATTCCTCTTAAGCAGATCTATCTCAAGAAACGCTAAGCTTTAACAATTTTTGAAATCCACTCAAACAAAATTAGTATTACTTAGGAATTATCAGATGATGATGATGCATTCACCAATAGGGAGAATCTGATGCATTGCAAGCACTCAACTGGGAAATGCTTGCTCATGCGATTTACTCTCAGGAAAGCCAAGTCTTACCATTGACCGCGAATGGGGCAGGTGATTTTCCGAATAGCGCTACACTTACAGAAGAAAATGTAAGAAACTGGTTCGATGGGTGATTTATCTCAAATGAGAGCAATAGTTTTTGTGCCGTGGCATCTACAGATTGCCAGATGGATGGGAAGCGATGAGCTATGCTTCGAATATCGTACGAAACGAGTCGATTTCGTACGTACGAATACCAAATATCGTACAGTTGTATATCTGGTATATACGTGAATTTTCATACAGAAAGCATACATTTATTGTATGAAAAGTAACCCTTTGCAGTCGAAGTGCAAAGTCGCGAGCCGCGACCGTCATTTGTCACCAACAGCGAAATACCCGAATGCTAGTTTTTACGATTGGTGTTTTTGTTTTTATTTTAAGAATTGCAAATTATTTACAATATCTCCGTAGCGTAGGAGTTCTCGAGTTTGAAGACCAATTTTAAATGGCTACGCTCCGGAGCCCTCGAGTGCAAAGGGCTAATATATATTAAAAAAACGAGGGATATAAAAGTGCGATATTTTTTTACAAAAAAGGTAAAGATGACTCTACCTTATTTGACTTTGTTTATTTTTTTCTGGTACGCAAGAGGCAATCTTTGGCCAGATTTAGGAGGAGCTATAAGCATCGGCTTCACTTTTTAAAATCTTTGTTTCTTTTTTTTTTGTGAAGCTAGAACAATATGACAGGCAGACAGAAGATCGTTCCATTTAAAAACACATATGCATGTGCATAAAAAGAGCAACTTTGCGGATTTTCTCATGCGTATTTGTT